GTGTTGTCTTTATAACTAGAAGAGTTTTGTGGTGGAATGTGTTCCGGTTGCAGGACTTTGAGACTTTTGGGGCCTAAGTTTCTTTAGAGCGCAGCATACTGAAAACCACCAAATATGTTTGTATTTCGGGAGGATTTCTTCGTATGAAGTGTGGGTTTGTTGACACACTTACTGTCAGCAGGCTTATTGAATACAAAGCATTCTTCTCCACCATTAGACACAATCCTGCGAGATTTGCTCACAGTGGCGAGGTTACTACATCTGTGTAACAATTTCTTAGAACAGCTTGGATCAGTGCTAGCTATTTTAACACCTTTCAGTGAAGCTTCATTTACAGCGATACTGATATCTTAATCAGCTCCTAATTCCATTGGTAGGCGTGGATGTTGTATAGTTCACTGAATGCTACTGTCAGTATTAGGTGACTGTTGCGGCACACGTTCCACTTCCCATAAATTTAAGCCAGAGTAGGTGACCAGATTATCACTACGCATTATTCTGCGTTGACACAATGTTTTATCCTGAGCTATGGTTACAGATTTATAACTGCTATTCAGTCTTAGATGATCCTGAAATTTAGTAAACCTACCAGCATTTAGAGAATCACTGAACTTAAAAGTGATGGGACAATTATTTTTAAATTTACTTTTGATTACAGCTTGATTCCAAACTGTACTTTTGGTACAAGTATGGAATTTTCAGCATGAATATCAGAAGCCCGAATTTTGCAGGCCGACCATAGATATCAGGTGTGCATCGGCAGGGGATCGAACCTCAGACCATGTGCATGGTCGGCAAGAGTCCTAACCACTGTGCCACCGACGGTGTTTACGCTGGCCATGCCGCAACAATCCGAGATTTCGTTTTTAACAGTTTTCGGAGGCACTGAGTCTGGGATATTGTGAAGTATAGCCTGATAAGAAGAGGCTATACGCTTCATCACATCCGCAGCCAAGCAGTCAATGAGATTTTTCGATTTATTTAGGTTATCCGGAAACATTTCATGATTTTTTATAACAGGCAGGCAATTCGGTCTTAATCGGCAAGCTTGCTTTGAGTTAAAATAGTAGAGACTTAACCCGATCAATATCAGAACGGTTTTTCGTGATACTTGAGATTGGCAAAGTCATGCTATCAAACTGACTTAATTCTTCCTGAAACTCCCTTACTTGCCTCTGTATGTTTTCCACAAGGTGGTTTAATTTACAGAGCTCAGAGTTCTCCGACAGAACATCTTTCACCTGTATCACCGGAGCGAGAACTGGACTCGAGCTGTTTTGTGAGCTAGTAGTTGATACTGTATTACAGGGTGGTAATGCAGTTTTAACCAAGGTTGAGCCACCAGTTAAAACAATTGCGTTTCTATGAACAAGTTTTTTAGAAATCTGGACCATAATTTTAAGGATTAGATATCAATTAGCTAAAAAATGAATATCAGGGAAAACACATGCGAAAATGTCACCTATTTCGAAAGTACCACACCTGTTTGCATGTGTTTCTTCATGCGTATTCTGAGAGTTTCTTCAGATTAATACCTTGGTCTATGGTCACCTGTTTTAGTTCGTGTGTTTGCATTTTCTTGGTACTTTTGCCAAACTGCCCACATTTGTGAAGCGTATATAACTTTTAAGGACACTTTTAATAAGCTCTTGTGTAAACTGTGGTCTTTCTTATCTAATCTTAATTGGCAAAGAGTTTGTTGACACCGTAGGCACCTCATTTTGAATTAATACCATGGGTCTGTTTTTCAATCCTATGGATACAGCGTTTTCCACAATGCACATCTAGATGTTTGGAATTTAGAAGCACATCGTCTTCTGCAGATTTGTTTTCGCTTCGCGAGTTGCTGTGAATCAGTCAGTTTTGATATGACGACAGATAAGTTCAGAGGCCTTGAAAATATCAACGCCTTCTTAAACCTGAGACCATATTTAATTTCTTTAGCGGAAAGGTGATCATATTTTCAATAAACGTCTTGGGATATTCCCTAACACTTGATAATTCGAAGGTAATACTAAGTCACTGTGACGGTCATTGCAAACTGCTTAAGCACCGTCAACAAAATACCTTTCGTAATTGCGTTTTACATAAAAAGTGACTTTATTGGTGTGCTGATTTTGCTTTCCCATTTGTTCTTTGTTCCGCATTCACCGTTGTTACTTGCTTTACACGATTAGCAGACTACCATTTTATAACAACACATATAAATCAATAATTTGTCTGCTTCATCCTTATCTATCAGCGTGTAAATTAGTTCCATAAGTTTATCAATCATTCGGTCTTTTTTGTCCCTTATATGTGTTTCAGCTTTAAAGGACGGTTCTAACCTTTGACGTTTGCACTATTTTTCTTCGTTATTTATCATCCTTTTGACATGATGGTATTGATAATAATTCCTACTAACGAATTTGTCATTACAGCAGAAGCGGACTGCTTACTGAACCTGACCTATCACACCCTGTGGCTCATAACTTTTACAAAAGTTAACATTCAGTCTCATCAGGTATGATATTTAGGCGAAGAATGAAGAATACGTTCAAAAGTGACTTGAAAAGGAATAAAGAATCAGCGAGATTTTGTGATTCACTTTCCTCGGAAATGAGCACCATGGATTCGTCGAAATTAGTGGGCACCTAAACAGCAAAACATTTCACAGGATAAAATATAAGTATTATTACAAGTAGTTCAGAAACTAATGATTTGACCTGGTGGGAGGTGCCGAAGTTCTGTTATAATAGTGTGCAATTACTACAGCAAATATTTTTCGCGCAGAAAGCTAGACAAAGCGGCTGTCTCAAAACCCTACCTCCGAACGACTGGACATTCCGTCCACATGTCCCTAAGATAATTCAGACAATCCCAGTGCAAAAATGCATACGAGGAAGTTTAGGTAAAACAACAAAAAGCGGGGGGTTTATGAGATTAAAATCAATGACAGGACAATAAAGTGTCGTACTTGCCACTGCATACCTGATCACGACGACGTATAAGCAATTCAAATGCTATAAGACATTGAAAGAAGTTGTCGTAGTGCATATTTATGTCACCAAACACTTTTCAGAAAAAAGGGCGTATGCTGAAAGTGTCTGTAAAACATTACGTAATTTCCGTTCAAATACGAACAATAATTTTGCTTTCATCTACAGATTTCACCGACTTTTTGCAACCAAAGCACCATGGAAGTGTGATGAAGCAGGGGTTCAAACACCTTAGTAGATAATCGTTATCATATCTTTTGGTTTCTGCGCTAAAATAAGTTGTGGACATCAGCTGACCGAAAAACTTACAGCTGAGCACAAGCTGCCGGTAAGTTGCAGAGAAATTGTTTAAAAGCCGATGGTGGATATGTATGCCAAGCGTACTTGTTATGCAAAGCAGTTGTTGCGTGAAGCACTTGCTTGATTGTGCCTGTAAAAAAGGCATGCATTTTCATGTGAATTTGTAAATTTATATATGTTTATATGAAATACATACATTATTATTATACTTAAGTATACTGCTACACAAACAAAGCATTCGTACTAAGAAACAATAAAGAACAATGATGCTTGAAGAAATCCATCCAAGAAGATCCGAGGAAATATCTATATTCCGTCAAGACAGCAAACCATCACCTATCCGAATCACCCAAACCACTAAAATACTCACTGAATAAAGGAGGTGACGCCACTTTAAGAGGAATATGCTATGTAGTCAGCTAGAACTGGTAGTGGTAAGGAATCGGACTAAGTGATCACCATCAGCTAAAAGCTGTGGGTGGGTTTCAACGAGACAGTCCATTTAAATACAGTCTTTATGTTATTATATAGTAATCTGACATCCGCTTCGGGATTTCTGCCGGAGTTGCAGCTACCACAGCTTGTGGGAAAGCACTCCAGTCCTGGCCCTGTGACATGAGGTCCTTCAGGGTTGCGACGAGGAGGCCTGCAAGAGCTTGGTGGCAGAATACCTTCACTTGGATGATTCTGGTCACTGGTGATCTCGTAAGCGGCAATTAGATAGCAGATATCTACAGAATCTAATTTCATTAACATCTCATCGCATGGCTGATTCCAAAAATCTATGATTCTTTTTGTCATCCGTCTTAGGAATCCTACCAGAAGATTTGTGTCCATTTTAAATGGTTAGGGAGAAGTGTAGTTAGGTACTTCAAAGTAGGGCTCCACACATGTTCTGTAAAGACCTAAAGAGAGAGCCTAACCGCTTGTGTGTGGAGGATATAGCCGCATATGCAATACCCGAGTTGTTTACGCTTGTATCCAGTTTTTCCATCAGGATAAGACCAAAGTCGTTCTGTGACGTTGTGTAAAACAAATTATCCCCATACGGGAAACAACTTAATTCCTACGTCGTTTGGGCATGTAGCTGCCCCGTCTTACACTTTTTGGATGGAAAAAGTACCACGGGCCTGTGGCTAGACTTCCGGAGCCATGAGGTCTGCCTAAAACGTCTTTGAGTTTTCTTAACATTTTACTGCCCAGCAAATCTGTGCATCATCGGCGTGAAGAGACAGCCATTTTGGACGACAAGGTATATCACAAAGACACATCAAAAAGAGTTGGGATCCAGGATAAGTCCCTCTGAGACTCCTATCGCCACACTCTTCTAGGATGACCATATATTATTGACTTCAGTATAGAATTCACTCCCGTCTAAATAGTCCTTCGATAATGAGAAAAGCGGGCTACTAATGACCCTCGTTATGGGAAGATAGTGATGAATAGTATTAAAGGCCTTTAAAAAACTCAGGAAGACTTCATGGACTAGAGGATTCATATTCCACCGTGATATTTAGTCATTTCCTGCTGATATAGTACATTGAAATCTGTGAAAGAGGCATAATTTCTTCAACACAGCAAAAATAAGAACTTTAGACAATCGTTAGATTCATACAACGAAGTGCACAGTGCATATTTTACCTTTTCACATTTCACTTTTGTTTGGTCGTATCATTTAAGCATGTAAGTATAAACATTAAGTTTGCAATTATTTAGTTTGTTATGTTTGTTCTATTATTTGTCATTTGTCTTCAGAGATATATCTGCGCGCAATCTTGCAGAGAGGTAAATGTATAAATTATATGTTGATTTCATGTGGATTTCATGTAGGATGACTTGGTGATAAAAAGTACTGAATGCGATATCTCAGGAAACAGGTGGCTTTTCAAAATTCCTAAAATCGATGGAAAATGTGACCTCAATGAGAAAAGTATACCGAAGAAAGTTAATAACTGTTGTAAGTTATCCCTCGTACTTCTTCACTGAATTCAGATAAAACTTGCCCCACTGGAATGCATCTTGACCTTTTATCACAAGACTGTGAAATTTGCCCACCTGGAACATATTCAAAAGGTGATACATTTGAGGTGACAAAGTGGGACACTATGCCGGAAGTTCTTTCTTTTGATGTTACGTACGGTAATAGCTATAATTCAAAATGCAATCTGTAAGTTCTCATTATACTTATAGCGATGTACATCCAGACTGTTAATATATATATATATATATATATATATATATATATATATAATATATATATATATGTTTATTTGTCCAGATCTGTTGATATCACTTTGACGTTCCTTCATCAGAACTCCTGTTATGAAATACTTTTCGAACGTTAGTGCCTACTTAGTATGTCGTTTTGGTTTTCACCTAAATTATAGACAACCGTTTTTTATGCCAAGTACCTAACAGTTACCTAGGATGTGATCAATTGGACGTTGTCTAAGAGAAACTAGTTGGTTAAATTAGTTCGGATGACTTCCCTAATTATAACTAGTGGATGTGATTTGTATTCAGGGGGAGTATTTAAAAATAAATCGTACTTTTATTTTCTTGATTCGCCACTGAGCATTCTTAGTGCCTACCTTCGGATGCAGGTTTGTTGATTGAAGATATAAGGCTTGAAGCCCAGGTTAATCCTTTCCTAGTAAATTTTTGTGCTTCTTCAAACCCATTTGGAATGAGTCGGTTGAGAATTGTGACACTACTTCTTCTGGGAATCAGTTCCAAGAGTTGGTAACTCTGTGTAAGAACCAATACTTTACAGCAATATATAATGACTGCAGGCCTGGTTAGGTCTCATGACGCATTATGCCTGTATGTTCATTTAAATAAAACGGACTGACTTGATTCTTTGAGCCAGACAGGTATGAGGTTTTAGGAAATATGTCAGCCCTACATATTGAGTAAGGTAGAAAGCCACTGGACTTTCCATTTTGTAATCTGTGACAAATGAACGAACTGTTAAATGAATATAGTGTTTATCTTACTCACTTCAAACCTTCGATGAAGTATCCTTATTGATCACGGCGTCACCAGTCACTTCTAGATGTAGTCAGTACTGCGTAAAAGTCAATATTCAGTCAACTAATAATCAATCTCACTCAGAAACAAATGTATTTTCGAGCCATAATACAGGCGACTGTAAATAGCTGCTAAGGATTATAACTTATTCCGTGAATTAAGTAGGAAAAGTTTTTAGGTTAAATTCAGTACTAAAAATATGTCTAATACACCTCAAAAATATTTCGTTTTAAAGTTCAAATTGTGGTCGCATAGGTGAAAGCTTTTTGAATCTGACATTCTCTTAGAGTTATTATGCATACAAAGCTTTTGAAACCTTTGCAACTCATCAGATTACTTACAATGTCACCTTTGTTCAATGAAGTTAGTGTTTAATTTTAATATGAAGGGCTTTTACTGAATCTAGCAATGACGTTTTTGAATAAATCAAGGTTGTGGAGTCACTGGAAGTTTTTGGGAGCTTTAAACCATGCTACTGAAAAGTGAATTAAGCTTGTGCAGCTTGGAGGTTCTAAGTAATAAATAAAAATACCCACCTTACAATAGATTAGAAGTGGTATATTTAAATTAAATTAGTTTTGTTTTTCACTTGGTACATTTCACGTGGCATTTTAAAATACATGAAATGTTAGTTAGTACTACAAACGAAACAAATATTCGCCAAAAACAAAGCGGTTTCTGCAAAAACCCTGCGGTTTTGAAACGAATTATGTCTGTGCTGTGCTTCGTAAGGTAAGTTGTAAGGTGAATGATCAATCATATGACCTCATTTTCTAAAGTCCTGTTTAAAAATTAGGTATGAAACGAGAATTTTCTGAATTATAAGAAATGATCATAAATTATTTAAAAACTTTATTCCGTCATTAGTGTATCGTTTTGGACTATTGTCTCTTACGTAAAACATTTAATATTTATACGTCGGTGGCACAGCAGTTGGGACGCTAGGTGACCATGCACATGGTGTGGCCTGTTAAATTTGGGCTACCGATATCACTTGCTAAAAATTCCATAGTTGTACCAAAATACTGTGTGGAAGCAAACTATGGTGAAAAAAATAAACGTTTGTGTGTTAGGATTCATCCACCTGAATTAAACACTATCAGGAAAGGAGGAAACACATTATATCAGATTTTCTCTTATGATGTTTAAACCAGACATCTGACTCGTTACTGGATTTTCATTGGTATATTCTACCCTGTGAGACCATAATGTTTTATATCTTATACCAGCAGCTACACAGTTAGTTGTATTTTCCAGTGAGATTGCATTTTTTATGGAGCAATGAATCTTTGCCTTTTCAACTAGTCTTCGATATCTTTCACAGTACATGAATTGTATTGGTTGATCAATCGTATGTTGTTGTGCTTTGGGGCTACAGTAGAACGAAGCTAAATCCTTTGCTATCACACTTACTACGAATACATTTAACCAAAGATAGTGTGAGTTGAATAAAGAAAGTTATTCTTTACATTAAAATTAATGGTATAAAGATGGAATCAGTAGGGAGGCTTTTTTCTTGGCCAAAAGTAATATCACTGTCAAATATCTATTAGATCCGAATAAGTTCTTATGCAGGAAGGATATTTTGGTTGTTTTGTCGTTGACAAACAACTACGTTGTACTTTAAAATATCGGAAACTGCATATTTGGTGAGTATTAATTCTGAGTGATGAAATGTCTTGATAGCTACAGAATATTGATATTATTCACGATAAGCAACTTAATCTACTGAGTAAATCATTCATGTGTGTTCGTTTTGGTTCTTTTTGCCTTATTCTTCTCTGCGAAATTTCTGAAAACTAAACAGTTGCGTTTTTCTCCGAGTGACTGATCTATTTGTTAAAATTTTCATTTTGATCAGGTTTGTATGACTAATTGGTCTTGTTGGTCACATGGGATACATGAAACTCATTTACTTTCGAATTACAAATTTGCAAAACAGTCATATATTAATTATTAATTTTTTAAATACAAAGACGATACACCCAATACTTTTGACTCGTTATTTAAATGTAACACTGAGAACAGTTGGGCAACTCGGATCTCATGACTTCCACTGAATATCCTGATGAAATCTGTGTAACCTACTATTGTTATGGCTACGACCGTTTTGTACAAATTAATGTAGACTGTCACCTTTTAAACACATGAAAAATCAAACAATTTTTCTTGAAAAATTCCTTTGTCTACTGTGAATCCAAAAGCCTCAAGTTATCCATTTCTGTGTAACGATCCAACTGTTTATAAGGAGAAAATAAAAATTCATACAGTGATAGATATGTTGTAATAGTTAAGAGTTCTTTTCCAATTTTCGGTAAAAATTACCAGAATCTTCCGCCTGAAATGAACATGCTTATCGGCACAAATAAGTGTTTTAATCTGCCCGAAGCTAAAGTATGCCTGAGGTATGTCTTTTCAAGTTTATACAGATGAATTCGAGGATAACTGCATGTAACTTTCCTAAATTCTGTTCCTTTAATCTTTGCAGAGATTAATAAGTGACTGAGATTCGATGGAAATTTGCTGTGATTTCTATCAGAAACCCGAGATATTTCAATCTGCAAGAAATGGTCTAACTCAAATAGTTGTGTACTGTAAGACACTAAAGATTCTGTCATCCGCTTGGGATAGCTGGTGATGAACATCCCTAAACAGAATACTTTTAGAACAGAATTTTTTTCCCTTCACGTCCCCAAGTGAAACATACTGCTCCAAGCTATTGTCTAGAATTACCCCCTAGTTAAAGATAAGTTAATCAGACACTCCTTCCAAGCAATAACACTGACCCTGCTGGAATCTTACAACATAATATTTTTGATATGACATGGCTGTACTTAAAAGCAATGATTCAGGATAATGATTCAAACTGTTAGAATTTATTAAATAAATTGTAGCCTAAAATATTAAAAAATGCCTACTACTATTGTTTGAAATGTTTTCTGTAAACTTTTAATCTCTGTTAGGACCGGATGGTCACCTCAGGGTAAATATTTATTAGGCAAGACTACGGCTAACTGCGCTGTTACTCTTTCAATGAAAGTTTACAACCTTAAACCTGGAACAATAACATTCACATATCAAATTGAAGAATATGGTGCAATGGCTTTCTTTACCGTAAGTTTTACAGATGTGCATAATATTCATACTAAGTATATAAATACGTAAATATGATAAAGAATATTTACAGGCTGACTGTTATGAAAATGGTGAAAATTCACATGGCGCCTGATTTCAACTCCAAAGAGAAAAAAGGATGTCTACAATAAATTATTTTGTTGTTGTTATTATATCGTTGGAGGCGATCGGTAGGAAGCCCTGGACCTAGGTTTCATCAGCAAGGCGTTCTGAAGTTCGAACCCGTGTCAATCAGTGATACAGTCAGAGACGTTACCTCTGAGCTACGTCTAGATGCCTCATATAAGAAGAAGAGGCAGGATAAGGAACCGCTTACTGCGAACACCTGGTAGTCGAGAAAGGAGTGAAGGGTAGTGAAGCAGAAGATAAAACATTGCAGAGATGAATGCCAAAGGAAGAAGCTGAATAAAATTTACAACGGTCTGAACAAATGAGTGAATTGTTAGGAATAACGAAAGAAGCATTTACAGCACACTAACAACTGAGGCAGAATAGGTTGTAGGTAGGATAGACCTCGGCACACTATATCAAATAACCAGTTCCATATTCAACAGCGGATGAGTAGAGATCAAGCTGGGGAAAGATATTGAAATAAACTAAATTACCAAAGGGGTGGGACAGAGGAAACTCAAAACGGCTCGCTTCAAAGGAATTTTCGAATTGACTGCCACCTGCAACTCGTCCTGAAATACCAGCAACAGACACAGAGCTACCAGTGAATAGCAACCTTCCTACAAAAACAGAAGTCTTGTAGGCGATAAAGTCACAGGAATCCGGGAAGGTAGAGGAACCAGACAAAATTCCCTGAAAAATATTGAAAATGAGCCTTGATATCTGAGAAGACATGCTTATGTTTATTCTGCAATGACGAGATTGTGGTGGACTGGATCATGCGGCATATCTTGAGGTGTGAGAAGACGAGCATAAATTAGATCGACAAAGAGACCCTGCAAGACCTTGAATTTGCAGATAATTTATGTCTCATGATAGAAGTTAGTAGAAAAGGCAGAGAAGATACAACTTCAGCTAAACATACAGAAGACAAAGGTGATGAGGACGCCCGACGAATAACAACAAACACCACTCATTATCAATAAAAAAATCCAAAGGTCTCTTTCACTTGCTTCCTGGATAGCATTGCATGGCAAAGCGATGCACGGATAAGGATGTCAAAGCCAGACAGAATCGGTAGGGAAAACAAGAAAGACGTGCGTTACTGTGAAATCAATATGAAGATATACATCACTCATTCAGAACAAGGAATAAGGTTAGAGTTCTACTTCAGACTAGTGTAAAGGGAGTGTTTCACTATGGTTTAGGGTCTTTGGTGTGATCGTTACGGAAGTTATTTTAAAAGGGATTCTCCAGACTTTCATCAGCACGTGTCTCCAATCTACGTTGAGGACTAGATGGCCGATCGGAAACAGTGAGTAAGCACAAAGGAACTATGGCAGGCATATTATCCAATAAATGTGCAAGAAGAAATGGAGATTGATTAGGTATATGCCGTGGGGAGCGCTGACTGGTATCACGCGAAGGGAGTCAAAGCCAATTCGAGTGGGCAGCGATGAGTTGGGCGTCCGCGTATGATTGTGTGAAGAGAAAATAAAAGCTTGTGAGCAGTTGTGGAGCTAGATGGAAGTAGTGGGGTGAAATGGAGGGCAACTGAGGATCTATGTTCTACTAGGAAGGCAGGGAATGAGTAACATAATAATAACCCTAATCTAGTGAGTTATTATGGAATATATATCAGACTGGGAGTTTAATAGGTAAAGAATTACTGGAAACTTCAAGAGATGTTACCAAAAACTTATCTTTTCACTACTTTAACTGTTTTATTCTTTCAACTATTTTATTGTTATGCGAAGAACTGCCAATAATTCACTCTCTGTAATATCTGGATTATTATTTGGTCACTATGTAAATCCGTAGCTCATATTATATGACAAAGTTTTATTTTGTACTTAATTTCATCTGATTGTCAGGATGTAGCGTAAATCGATCCCACTTGTGAAGTATTTATAAACGGTATTTCTGGAAAGATGATGCACTGATAAAGCGCTAAATGTATTGGTATTGTTATTATTATTTATGAAATATTATTAACATTACTTCGCTTTTATTTTCTAAGATAGTGTAGCCGAAAATAAAGAGTAATGTATTTGTGTTAATTCTAATGGGTGAGGATTGAACGTGAAATGAAAATCTGGGTTGTGACGGGAGGATTCGAACCAGCAGCCTCAATAGCTACCAGCCCAGTACTGTACCGACTGAGCTAATAAAATGAACACCTAATCAGGTCGTCATTTCACTGCTTCATTATTCATTCCATCAAATAACAGTCTGCCATCATAAAGCCATCTCACATACTGTCACTATTGATTGATTTTATTGATTTAAAAAAAACCAATTAAATTTGTCATAATTTTACACGAGAAATTAAAACGAAAACATTATCTAGAAATCAACTTATAGATTCCAATTAATGTGAATTTGATAGTAAGCTCAATAAAAGTTGAAAATCATGAGCTTGTTGCTTAATTTTAGAAAGTTGTATATTTATTGATTTAAATCCTGTTTTGTTTATAGTATATGTGGTGTTATGCGAGTGGAAGATCGGAAATATAACTCTAAGTTATTGAAAAACACCTTCGTTGTATCTCTTTATTTATATAATGTCAAAGTACCAATACCAGAATGTAGAAGGGAATGTGCAAAAGTTAACCAGATGTAGTAGAGGAATTAAATGAAAAATAATTCATATTCAGAGGCGCATAGTTATCATACAACGAATACAACATTAGAAATCCAATTTTCTAATATTGTATGGTCATTAAATTAGAAATAATGAGATTAAATATAAATAACTGAATAATAAATATATGTACACTGGAAATTTAAAGTCATTCAAGATAACTAACAAAACCAAATGCCAAGTATGGAATCTTCATCTGTAATCAAGTTTATAAGATTGAGCTTATGTAGAGTTATCATTTATAAAAGTTTCTGTGTGATCAGGTTGCTTTCTTTCCTTTAGATTTTCAAAGAGAATCGCCAGAGGAATCAATAGTTTTCAAAATGAGTGAATTTAAATAGAGGTATCAAGAGTTAGAAATACTTAACACCATCGTTAAAATGACAGTTTCTTAGTGTAAAAGAAAAGGTGGTTACTTCCCTGTTTAGCTATAAAAAGTCAATCGATTCATATGAAACTGGGGTATATAGTCCAGAATAGTTTATTGATGTTGAATGAAGTCATAGAATTAAACAACACAGAAATAAAACTTAATGGAAATCGCAGAATAACAACACCAGACGCTTCTTCAAACAAGTAATCAAGTACGAAATGAAGTGTGATAGAAACCACTTACTTCTGAGTCTATTTCAATATCAAAGCATTAAGTATCGTTTCATTTGATGGAAACTTCATCAACTTAAACCATTTTTTGAAGTGGTCTGTAATTCTTCACAGTTACGAGCATTTGTTAGCAGGTCACCTTCAGAAGTTGACAACTTGACCTATCAATATAAGAGATGACAAGATTACTGAGTTAACATTTCGTTTCTGTTTTCGCAGATGAGAAATGAAAGATGTTCACAGTTACCGGGAGGCAGTTATCTCTTACGACTTACGGGACCATATGCCTATGAAACACTAACATTCAGTGTACCTGTTGGACATAACATTCTACAATGGTATTTGTTTGTTGAGAATGTTTACGTACAACAGTTATATGGGCTGAAAGATCCTGAAATACATATCAAAGAAATTCGTTTGACAGGAACACCACCTGTGACAACATGCATCCCTTGTGCAGCTGGAAGTTTCGGAGCGCATGCGAAATCTGGTCATTGCGAGTTATGTCCAAGAGATACATATTCTGATGAACGTGCCGTTTCGTGTACACCTTGTCCAGATCATGAATTTTCAGGTAATGTGAACTGCAGTTTGCTACTTATGCAATAAATACAAGATTGCATCCTAATTATGATTTGAAATTCTTTCAAGCACAATTCTTATTTTTGTCTAGATGGAAGAATAGGTGAAAAGCGTTATAAAAATGAGTTTTTATGAATAATTGGTATATTTCAGAACTTTATTTAAGGACAGACGTCGGCTAAAAAATTACTGATGGACATCTGTTTCACTGTCTGGGCTGAGTCAAACCTAGCACAACAATGATTTGTTTAACCGTGAAAGAGCCAAAGAGCTGTGAGGCATTTGAACCACTTCGATCTGGCTGGCAAGTGCTGCTGCCTGAATTGAGTGGTTTGTACTACTTAGACAGTGCAGTCATGCCAGTAAGGTGTTTCCGCCAAGCAACTAGAATTTTCACTCAGGAGAGGAAGGGTAAGGAAAGAAGCACATATTGGCTTACTTTCTAGTGGAAAGGTCTTATGCGCAAAACAAAACCTCATACCCATCCCTTCAGCAGGTTTGGTGTGATCAGCATCAAGCAGTTATTTCCTGGGATTGTCAAAAAACCCGGGTCTTTCTTTTCCATTCCCAGTACATTCTATGCACTAGAATGTAGTAAAGGCTTTTATAATCAGCGCTGTTTATTGATACAAGGGTAGAATTTAGTCACTGGTGGAATATAATTCCATAAGCGGATTTTAATTGATGTGAAACACAGTGATACTGTATTATTTATTTACAGCTGACGTTACTACCACAGTTCGTTGATTTTAATCATAACAAGGCAATAGTGCGACAGTTATAAGCATATAAGTAATGTCGCATCACTGTGCGTTTCATATATATATATATATATATATATATATATATATATATATATATATATACTCCCAGGTTTTCCAATGGTTCTCTAACTAATGTCAGCTCACGATGAAATCCTGAAACCAATCAAAACCCTACAAACCATCACTTGAACACAATTTCCATATTTTTATTTTCCTCCCACTATTGATAGTATTACCGCGAAAGTTTCTTCATTTTTTCTCAACCTTATGAAAACTTTCAGTGACCTAAACCAAAGAAACTTAGTTTATAGCTTCCTGAAATCACTCTATCAACCTCATATTGGAACTTTCAGAGTTCGAACCCTATCTCAAATTTAACAGGAGGCCTCCATTGTCAAACCTCGACATCTCAGGCTTGAATTCACATTGTGCCTCTGAGACATGCATACAAAACGCAAAAGTGATTATTCACTTGACTCCACCGCAAAGTTTTCTATTATCTAACTTCAAACCGAAGAGGATGTAGACATTGGTACTTAGTTTTTAATTGAGCCTATGAAGCTTTCCTCTAATAAGGACGAGGCAAAACAACACCTTACCTGTTGTTTTGATTCTAGGGGTATTTAGGGATAGTGATGATGAATTATTGGCTAAATTGACTAGGAAACTGTCCAGTGCATTGGAATCGGAGGAAATCCCATCGGAATAAGACGAAAACAAACATTCCTTTAATGATCATTGGGAAATTAGCCTGAGTTATTTAATATTCAAGAGTCTAAAATTCTGCGATAAATAAACTCAAGAAGACTACCAACCGAATTCATCTTTCATGGTTTTTTAGAACAAAGGCATACATACCTGAGTCTAGCACTTGCAATATTTCTTCTTTTTCAAGCAGGATTTGACTTTGTCAGCCAAGAAGTGCTGTGACAATGAACAGCTTTTGGACGGGTGCCAGAAAGATATGTTGTGCTGATTAAATCACTGACAGAAGCTAAATTTCTTCAAACATGCTGACCGAGAATCTGAGCATGCTCTGCAGGCAATTTGACCATGTCAAATGCATGTCAAACATTTAGCTAGACCTAGAATGACTGACCCTGCCAAGTTAAATAACCCAGAAAAAAGCTCAGCTATTGCGCTGCATTCGCTTGTATGTAATCACAAAATAAGGTGGGACGAGGTGAGAGTATTTAAAAGTAATGTGGTTAAGTGGAGAGAAAGTCTAAACACTGAAGCTTTGTTGATTGATTCACCATCGCACACTTGCAGCGGAATGACGCAAAACCTATACCTGAGATATGGAAAGTAGCAACAAACGACAAATGGAAGCTGGAGAGAAAGAAAGAAAGAAATATGTATAGTTGACTAAAGATGCCTATTCAAAATGTCAAAAGTTTGTTTATTGAACTGTCATCAAATATATATAGGACAAATTGTGAAACTGTGTGACTAAAATTGATATTAAGATTCTGCATAAAACTGTGCAATTAGTCATAATAATAATGATAATGAATCTATCATTAAGAAGCATGAAAAACTGAGGCACTCTGTAATAACAAGAATAATGAATTGACATGATTATGCGCAGTAATTTGTGCTCGAAACGTCATGCAGCTGTTAACACTGCATCATTGTGTGATATTTAAGATTAAGTTATGTATTATTGGTTTTACTTTCCATCACAGTTCCAAGACTCTACATTTATATTAAAAATAGGTATTTCTTCTAGGCATTGTTTTTATTTATTAGGACAGTTCAACTTTGAAATGTAAATCTGATACAGTTGGTTCCGTCAGAGTAAGAAATTACAATGTGTCAAAAGGTAGTCATGGTTTCGAGAAATATACAGTTACTGGTTAAGAAAAGGAATAAAATCGTTACTAGCAGATAAGTTGCTAAAGGTCACCCACTCGTAACGTCAGATTAAACGATTTTAGAATAAGAGGCTGATTTTGCATATATCCTAGACATCTGGATGCTGACAGAGATTGTTTGCTTGTGCAGTTTCATTGGTGTCAATGCATTCTTCCCAAGTATTTCTTTTGATATTGTAGTGTTGGTTTGTAGGGATTTGATTGGTTACAGGATTTCATCATGAGCTTACATTAGTTAGAGAACCACTGGAAAGCCTGGGAGTACTGGACAAATGTTTCGTCCTAGTTTGAGACTCTTCGTCAGTACGCACCCACCAGAATTCGAACCCAGGACCTTCTGGTTACAAGTGAGCTTGCATGCCATTAAGCCACTGGGACCCGATCCAATGGCTCATGAATTCTAACTTCTGCCAATTCACCACATAGCGCGACCCCTTTTGAGATTATTATGGAGGAAGAATTTACATAATTAGTAATTGTTGAATTTTATTCCGCAGAAAAAAGAGACAACAAATGGGAAGTTATGACTGTTCAGTGCACCATGAATTATTACTAGAGTTTCAAATAGATGTTGGTAGGTTCAACCGATCGCAGGGTGGTTTTGATGCATCACTTTCTAGTGGTTTCGTTCTCATGAAGTTATCGAATAGAACTATTCTTTTTAAATTAACAGAAGAGCCAGCGAAGACATGAATTCAGGTGAACATGCAAAAGATAAACATAATGATGATAACGAAATCTACATGGTAAAGATCATGTGAGGAGGAAATGAAGGCCCATGTAGAGTCGTAGATCCAGAAAAAAGAGACAAAGGAAAGCAGATTGCGATGGTTATGTGCTCCTGAAGCCTTCTGTCTCATTCTGGAACAAAGGAACGAATAATAATCCTTTGAAGTTACCGAAAGAGGGAGACAGCTTCCATTATTGCCATAGACTAACACTCGTAGACTAATCAAAATTAAGTGCCTGAATAAAGAAGCCAAATAGGTAAATCTTCCAGCATATATATATATACATATATATTAAACACTTCCTCAGACATATTACATCGAATTGTCATGACAGTACAAGAAAGTTTTCTTTTAAAATAGGTACTGGGTCTTCGGCATGCAGTCCACGTCCCGTATGTGTGAAAGACGATTATACAAGCTACTGGACCCCATGTGACAAAAACCAGATGGTAAGATTTAATATTTAGATAAATTACTGTTTATATGGCAATATTTTTAGATTTTCCTTTAAATTATAATACTTTATGGTTATGGTCAGATGGAGCTTTTAGAAATATACAACATAATTCCGTCAGTATTTCCTTTTTTGATGCATTCACTTAAACAACTAGCTATATATTTTCATTCATTATCAAAGACTATGGCCGCATAATAAGAATTGAGATAAATTATACCTTTGCACTGATAGACTCTGATGATGCAAAGTCTAAATATTCATTTTAATGTATTTTCTTCCTGAATATAAGCATATTTAAATATCCATTTTCTTTTCTTTCAAATAGGCAGTCTAGGAAAGGTAATTCATCGAAGTCTGATTCTGTTTACACGAAGTAAACTGAACGCTGGAAGATTAATTGTTGACTTTCTCCAAGAATGAAGTGTGAAGGTCTCGTTTTATTGGGACGAAAGTATCGTCAACGTATCTTAGCCATATTTTAGGTGCTATTATGTTTGATATGTTATCTTTAAATGGATTCATGAGAAAAAACCCAGCGACTATCGGGCAAACTGGTGAGCCCATGGCTATACCATTCGTTTATCTATAAAACTCCTCTTTCATTATAAAAAAGTTAATTTCCGGGCATATCTTTCCACTGGCGTCCAGTTGATGTCTTTCTGATACAGTTGTGTCTAATTATGGTAAACATAGTTGAAAACGTATTCTGAAGACGTAAACCTAATCAGTTGTCACTCCAGAAGGATCAGAAACGTCAGACGATATCAGAATAATACGCAATAAACACAAAATCAGAGTTCTCTTCTAAACATCAGAAATGCTCAAATTAACCTTGTTCATGTGAAAGGGAGGATTCAAAAGGACTCACAAATTGTGTCTGTAAAATAAAATGCTTAGAATGTGATGTGTTATACATCGGATGAACCTAACAGGAAATCAAGATCAGAAGAAACGAACAAGGAGAAATCTATTCAAGCTAGGAAAGACTGACAAATCATCAGCCATAGGTTCACATACTTTAGAATCAGGCTACAAAACTGATTTTGACAATGCTGAAATCACCCAGAAAACTTTCAGAAATCACAAGGAACGTCTCATATCACAAGCACTTTAAATCGAATGGAATCCAGATTGTCTGAGTAGGAGTGACGGACTGAGACACAATTTGACCTGTTTCCAACGTCCTCCCTATATGAGTTGACGAAACCCACAGTGCGTCGGTGGCACAGTGGTTAGGACTCTCGCCGACCATGCATATGGTCCGGGGTTCGAGCCCACGCCGACGCACATCTGATATCTATGGTCGGCCTGCGAAATTTGGGCTACCGATATCACATGCTGAAAATTCCATACTTGTACCAAAAATACAGTGTGGAATCAAGCTGTAATCAAAAATAAAAAAATAAAAAAATGAATGTGATAATCTATTTCACTATGTAAACACGTACTGTTTTTTTGGTTGAAGGATTTCATCATGAGCTGATATCAGTTAGAGAACCACTGAAAAACCTGAGAGTACTGGACAAATGTTTCATCCTAGTTTGGGACTCTTCACCAACACATATCCATCGGGGTCTTAACCCAGGACCTTCTGTTTTTATAATTTCATACACCGACAGCCTCCATATGTTTTGTTTTCTTTATCGATTGACCCACTTGATAACGTAAAAACTCCCGGATGTCGAAGAGCTGTGATTAAGTTATTGTGCATGAGCCGAGGTTTTGTGAATTGTAGTTTAATAATACTTTAATGAAGTTATTAGCATTAAATAGCGAGACGTCAGTAAAAGCAATACAGTTTTGTATTTCATTCATCGGTAAACAAAACTTTTACAGCAAATTATCAGTTATTTAAAAATGAGATCCTTTATTTCGCAAAATTTCGTTACACCTACTTTACATAAAATAAACGAAGACAAAGAATGAGAGGGCACTCATCCTTTTTATTTTAGTTTCTTCGGAATCCAAAATCAGTTAGAGAATGACTGAAAATCAAGGCGAAAATGGATGATAGCATAATTTTACTGTGTAACCGTGTGGTCATGTTAATCGGTCCGACAACTGAGTTATCATTCAAAGAATGTCTCCGTATCCGATATAACAAGACTTTTGAATTCACTGTATTTGTAGCGTGGTTCCACTACCTTTAGCTAGTATAATGTTAGCACAGGAGGACACATATTGTGACTCGTAAACTTGACATTTAACCCTTATGTAGAATACAGGTTACGTTAGTGGATTTTGATTGGTGCATGCTAACCAGTCAACAGTTTTGATGACAATGTTTTCGTTTATTTTACCATAGGATGTTAGTTTTCCAACATGAATTATCAATGTGTTACTTATTAATAACTGTATGACTTCGTATTCACCAACTTTAATCCCGACCACGTGCCTAGACAATAGAAAAGGTAGAAAAATGACTTATGCAGAACTCTTGAGGTCTTATATTATTTTTAAATTTATGTTTTACCTCTTCACAGTTAGATATTCATCGCTAAATCCTTCTACAGTGCCGTGTAAAATAAATCAGTATAATACATCTGAAAACCTCTGTATGTGTATTTCTCAAAATACTTCATGAAACAAGTTTAGGGTCATAAAATTCAACAGACAATTGTCTGAAACAAGTGCATTCATATACCACATCACTATCTTTTATATCTTTCGAGAGGTCTACAAAAAGTAATCTAGAGCGAATATAAGTAACATCTATTCAAAACACTTTCTTTCTTTTCATGTAATACAAATAGTCCTTGTGAAGAAGTTACGTGTTTTCACAAATTGTTTCAAGTGTGAACAGTTGTCTATTCAAATTCAAATCAATTGTAAGTATGTTAAGGTACCAGTTGAAGCGCTTAAGATATTCTTATTCAGTTTGACGATTAATACTGTCCACCTAGTTTTGTCTATTTTCCTAATATACCTTTATATTATATTCCAATACTCCATTAGTAATTAATGTTTCAGTTGATATTGGCATATTTCGCTGAGCCAGGAGAAGTGTTAGAAACAGGCTGACAACACTTGCGGAAATGATGCTTTATTAATTCTTTTGTGATAGACTTGATTAGTTCAATAATAAAGGTTACTGGAGCTGTAAGTAGACAATCAGTGATCACGGTTAAGTGTCACATGATACATTGGCATGATTTAATCTCATATTAGGTGTCTGTCCACAAAACGACATCATTGAGTGAATAAGTGTCATAATTATTTGTACTGGGAATTTCCTAAAATAAGTGGAAAACTAACAATCATAAACATTCTGATAGTACAGCAGTATTAACCGGCAGTCACCATTTTACTGGTTAGAAAAACTGACCATATTACCGCACAACAAAGTAAAATTCATTGCGTGTTTTTTTGTCATACTCACCTGTAGGCCTAATGTAATATTGTCATGTAAACTGAATTTAAGTCCTGGTATTCAGTATCTGTTATCAGAAAGAAAAGGACACAGAAAAAATAAATAAACTTGCTCAAGCTAATGCACTCAGGATGGCAAAGTTAATGAAGTCAAATAATACTGAAAAGTAAATATTGCTTTGTTGTCTTCTAAACCTCTAAATGGGAATTTTCTCTACATTAGTATTAAGCGGTAAACGGATTTCCGAGTTGTTAAATGATGAAATACAGTGAATATCACAGTTAATACTGGGACACATTCCTTAAGCTTTTGTATATAAATATGTCTGTAAATTTCATATTAAAAACTTCACACAGGAACATGCAGATGTTTTTTTGATTATCTGTTTGTTAGGAAGGTGATACTGAAATTCAGCAAAATGCTTAGAAAACCATCTATTTCTTGTTATAACATAACAAAAAGTGCATTCATCCAACTATGAGTAAAATATTTGATGAAGCCTAATACTGAGACATTGTCTTAATTTCAACGCCTACTGCTATCAGAGATAGCCCTGCTGGAAATTAAGAAGCACTCAACAGCGAGCTTTATTCCAGTATTAGACTCATTATTAGTATGTCAGACTTCAAGTGCATTGTGATGCAATGAAATTAAATCGCAGAAAGTTGAACCAAGTTGTAGGAAATTATAGTTCACTATATTCTTAACGAATGACTGAAATATCATTAACTTTTTTCAGAGCGTGATAGTCTTGAGTTCAATCTTTCATTAGGTCATTGATAGGTAATACTGAGTTACTTGAAACAAAGTCAAGCGAGCTATTCATAAAGATGCTAACTAGCGACTTGCCCTATTTAGGTAGGTAGTTACCTGAGTTCTAGTGAGAAGTGGTGACCAGTAGGGTGCAGCTGGTCGGGTGTGAGGACAAATACTCGCCGAAGACATTGGCTGGCGGTTGCGCTATATCGTGAATTGGCAGAAGTTAGAATTCAAGGACCATTGGATGGGGTCCCAGTGGCTTAATGGTATGCGAGCTCACTTGTAACCAGAAGGTCCTGGGTTCGAATCTCGGTGGGTCCCAAACTAGGAAGAAACATTTGTCCAGTACTCCCAGGCTTTCCAGTGGTTCTCTAACTAATGTAAGCTCATGATGAAATCCTGTAACCAATCAAATTCCTACAAACCAGCACTTGAATATTCACTATATATTATTTTACAATGATTATCTTGGCGAAAATCTATCTGGAAAATAATTAAATTGTTTAAAATGTAAGTGTTAATCACTAACATGAAACGTTACTAATAATTCAGAGAATGCATGAACCAAATAACTATCTTCAGTCTTCCATTAACTATTTCACCTGGATGTGAATACTTATATCAACTTCTTTTTTTCAACATTACATCCTTAACATTATAATTCGCATAATGTTTCAAGATAAGAATTCAGTAAGCATTATTTAAATGAAAACACAATTTCTTTTAAAAACATTTAAATATATTGTTTTAAACGATGTCAATTTTTTAAATGACCTTTTTTATTCTCATAAAGTAGACCTATGTTTTGAAATCAAGGATGATGCTGTCTAGGTTGTGAATCCATTAAACTGAGGTAGCAAAGGACTGTATGCTAAAGTGTATGATGCACATTAAACAATATTTTCCAATGGCGATGCGATAACTGGATTACTGTAAACATTTGAAGAAAGACACTCGATGTCACTGTGAAATTTCAACTAAGACGAAAGAATGTGGATTAGCACATTTAATCTTATAACTTTATAAACCTTTATTGACGTATTATACCAGACGGTAAGGTGATTTTTTATAGAGTAACACTAACGATAACAAGATAGCCCTAAAACGACTGGGGTAAGTGTTGGAAAAACATAAGGATGTGAATACCCCCCCGCCCTCAGAAAAAAGACTAATAATGTCGCTAAAAATCCACTATTTATTATTTTTAAAGAAACTTATGATTCATTTTTCATTAATATAATTTACTAGTTCTCATTTGTAGTGGTTTTCATTATCAAAGATACATGCTGACCTTTTAGTTGAACCAGGTTTCCACTTGCTTCTGCCATATCATGACTTTTCTGTATTAAAAAAGAAGCACAAGCTGAAGCTGCTAGCACCAAGTAAAGGATTTTTTAAATAAAATTTTTACCAGTTTGTCTTTCAATAAATATTCATTTGTAGTACCATTGCCTCTTTTCGAATCAATTTTTACACCCTGAAAATTTAGTTTCCGGCCAATTATTTTGAAATACTCTTTCTGAGAACTTAAAATATCACTCTGAGGAAAATGTCATCCATCCATTGAGGAAGTTATCTTAGGAAATTATTTATGCCTTACATCTACTGTCTTCAAATTCCAGGAAAAAATACGCAGATAAACAGAAAGGGTGGTAACAGAATCATCAGTGTCACTAAGTTTGTGAAATTTTGTCATTCTCTTTACAGACTCAACGTAGATGGAAATGGATCGAACCAAAAATATGTGATGAAATCCGTGGTGTTAAACTTCCTGAACCAGATAATCCTACACAATGCCACAAATGCCCTGTTGGTACATTCCCTTTAAAAGATGACGTCTGTGAATTATGCTCAGCTGATAAAACAGAGGAAAGTTCAAATTCAGAAAGTTGTGTTAAATGCCCAAGTGACCAAGTTCCAATATATGGGTTTCGTTTTGATAACTGGTGTCGAATGCCATCCGTATTGAAGACCAACTGTCGCAATTTCTTTGGTAAGCTTAATCAATTTAGTTCATAAAGGAAGACTTAAGTTAATGAAAAGCATCAGTCATTGAATAGGTTTTCTTGCCAAAATACTATATACATATACATCATTATTCCTTTAAGAGAAGTAATATAAACTAATATGGGATTTCGCTATCTAGTTAGTCTTCATTTGAATCTTACTCTTTTTCGTTGCGTTAGGCAGCTTCAAAGTGCAAAAAACTTTACATTTATGGTATTAATCTGTTGGTAGCCCGTTTAAACCATTGGTCTACCAAGATTTCCAACTATAATTATGCTTAAACTCTTCCGTTTTTCTGATTGTTTTAACCACATAATTAACTGCATTGTTCAGTACATCAACACACACATATCTTTAAAGAGCTTTCAACAGTTTATTTTACCATTTAAATGGATCTTTTTAGCATTATGGCATATTATTAGAACGTTAATTAGCAGAACACTTAAACTTCTTGTTTGACAATGTAATGCAAGATATTGTAGTTAATTCGTGAAATTTGTTTTTTATTTTGGTTATGACCATTCCATACGTAACAACATAAATTTCCTTGCTGAGTACTTTGATTCACTTCATTGCTGGAAGAACAAAAATGTGATTCCTATGAAGAATGGTATTATTATTACTGTTCACTTGGGTTGCGTCAACAGCATATACCCAATTTGTTCCATTCTATACTATCCTCATTATCTGGTCCCATATTGCCTGTAGTCACTCGTCCCCTCCTCACAGAATCTCCTCCATGTCGCCCACAGATTCAGGCCTAACTCGTTGTTTCCCATTCGACTTCCACTCGAGTGATGGCCTGCACTGCCCCTAATGTAATTCGATGGTCTCCTTGATATGTGCCCGATACATCTCCATTTATTTTGGCATAATTATTGAGCAATTATTCCTTCGATAGTTCATTTTTAGAGTTTCTTTTGGCTGACTCTTTCTGACCAGCCATCTGATCTTCACCACCATAGAGTCAGCGAGGATAGCTATTAACAAAAGTCTGCAGTCGTCTTTGAGAAATACTTTTCATGACGTGCCAACCTTCCAACCAACATAAAAGAACTGACTGACTTAACACTGGTGCTGAAAATCCGAATCTTGTCCTTCAGGCTGAGTGCAGAAGATTGCAAAACTGATTTCAGAGTGACGAATGTCTTCCTTGCCTTTCAGATTCTGGCTAGCGTTGACATCTTCATCCATGTTATCACCTGTGGTTGAAACAATGCTTCCTAGATAAGTGAAGGAAGTAACCTATTTAAACCTATCCCGTTGTTGTTGATTGGTGCTGGTTGTTGTTGTTGTTGCTGTTTCTGTTTCTGTAGGTTGGTAATCTTCATCACCTCTGTCTTCTCTATATTCACCTGTGGTGAGAGCTGTGTGCTAAACAAAATTGTTGACAACAATTTACGTCATCGTTTACGTCCCGAATCGGGGTCTTGAGAAAAACAATAACAAGAACAAAGCCTAACATTGAGGAACTCAACAACCAGTCACAGCAGACAGCGTGTGCAAATAAGATTTGTAGATATATGGGATGACTGTTTAGGAAGTGGCCACAAAGAAATATCAGAATAAACTTCAGCGAGAAAACAATCTCTGGTAAAATGAAGAATAATGATGTACATAAAAATCTATAAAAATCTCTTGATTGTTGTTGTCTGCGTGGCCAAAGTAGATTACTGACTCAGCAGCTAACAATTTAGGTAGTCTACGTCTATTCCACTAGCTCTCAGAGATTCCTAGAACTTTTATGCAGTATTTTCTTATTTTTCTGGTTACTTGGGCTGCCTTTCTTGTTTTGTACACTGTACAAATATTCCACGTCCTCGTTCTTACTTATGCGTTCAAAATAAGCTACATTGGCTGAATGACTCTCCGTAGGCTTTCACCAGCCCGTGTGATTTTGTTTCTCCAAATTCTGCGAAAAATAAGTTTGTTTTATATAATCTTCATATTTTTAATGTTTTCCTTGTGCGATGAAGTTTCTGTAACAGTTTACTTGGTTTTTTGTGGTAGAGTCACTAGCCCCACTCGGTACCCTCCCCATTTTCCCGGGTGTAGGACAGGCTAGAAAACCAGCGGCTCAGTAAATAGGGGAGGTTGTGAAGAATGGTGATTTCCATTTAGGACTTATTTTTTCTGATCAATTAAATAGTATCGAGACAGTGTAACATTGGATGGCACTTACAAACAGTTTATCAATTACTTTAATATTAGCGTGTTTGAGTAACAGCTCCCGAATGGCGTAACTGAAGTGATAAGCTGTACTCGAAATTTCTTTCAGTGTATTTCGCGTTTACTCCATATTTATGGCTGAAATATTAATTTGAATAATTATATCACTACTTTGACCTTTGTTATGTTGATTGCTGTTCCATATCCGTTAATTAGGTGTAAAATGCGATGTTTGGGAACGGGATATGACATCCCTAAGAGGTGGAGTTGGCATGCATATGGACGAAGTAGCAACTTTGGAATTCCCTATTCCCAATGGTTTTATTACAGCTTCTCCAGATGCTAATGTAGGATCAACATTAACCTTTTTGCAATCACCTATTCCAAATACATTTGTACGCATTGAATTCGAGACAGCATGCCGTTCAAGATGTCAGTTTTCGATGAAACAGGTAAGACATATTTTTAGATCATAGAAACGTCCAAAAATTAGAGATCTTTGTTTTATAAATTATTCGTTGAAAGTTTGCCACTTAAGTCAGAATAAACTGTACGTTTCAAGTTGGTTTTTATGTACTAGACATCATTATCTGCCCCATTTAAAACGACGCCGCATAGTTTGAATGAGCATGATAATAAACCAAACGAATTCATTATGTAAGTCAGTCAAATTGGAGCGTAACCCCTTTTGAGTTATAACTAGTGAAATAAATGATGTTGAAAATCTCCTGTGGTTTATGATCCATGGCATTCCATAGGCTTTTCTAAACCCGACTAAGATTATAAAAATGTTGTCTACAATAAACAAACTCTTACTATCACTTACTAAGGTTATGTCTAAAACATGCATTCAAAAGTCTCCTCTTGATACTGAAGATCAGCTTGCCAGAAAGGAATTCAGGGACCTACCCAAACTACTTAGAAGATAATGGAGGTGGATTGGACATACTCTGGAAAGAATGTTGAGTGACATCACACACCAGGACTTCGAACAGAACCCTAATGGGAAATAACAAGTTGAGCGTGAGTCCTGGGGTGAACGTATGATGAGAAAATGAAGTGGAAGCGTGCTACTGAAGCCCTATATTCCTGTCATAATCAATAGGAATAATAATTATAATATGATATCATATTATAGGAGAAATCTGTCGAAACTATAGCATGTAATAATTGAAATTTCTATGATTGACTACAGTGCTTATCGATAAAATATAAGGTATAAAAATAAAGATAAAATATTAAATATATTAGAAACTGGGAAAAATTTAGACAGCCGTAGGAAGTGAACAGAAATAGTTTGTGCGCATACTGAGTTCGTACAAAATGTCACCCTCATTTTTGCTTTTATACGTTAGCATTACAGCATTTATATAACACACTTGAAGATATGTGGCATGTCACACCCAACAGCGCAAGTTTTCTACATTTCTGTACTATATTCAGTTAACCTGTAGGACAAAACCTTCTGAAATGTCTTCCGTGTATTTCATTTAGATTATATATATATGTATGTATATATGATGTACAGTATAAGATGGAGTTTTTAACTGGATGATTATGTACTTTGATGTAACTTCAGATGGTCTGGTGAAGCTGTTCGTATTATGAAACCTGTTTCGTAGACCTCCGGGAAATGTACACAACGAGGAGTGTGCACGAGAGGAATAAAAACATTTACTGGGTACTTGCGATTCTAATTCAATGATTAGCCTTATCAGTCAAAATAGAGGTGTTTTTCATATATTTCCACTAGCACCTGTATAATTAAATTATTCTGACAACCAAAACCAGAATTACGTGTTTATAAAAGAGTTTATCGGACAATTAATAATTGTGCTGTGGTAGAACTACTTTAACCTTCAGTTACTTTTTGTACATAACACTATCGTAGCCAATACTCACAGAATGCTTTGCAGAAATAAAGCTACTTTGTTATTCTTACTGTTTGGTACTTTATTCGCTGAGCTGTCGTTGTCAGTTTAGACTGACGAACTGACGTTTTACATAGAACTTTGCTCGGATGTGCAATCTGCCACACTACTTGTAGCATGCAAAGGTAGTCAAAAGAGAGAAATAAGGTATTTAAAAGTAGTATAATCAGCAGAAATGTACGGGAGAAGTAGCAGTAGCGTGAAAAAACCTGATGATTTCATGGATTAGGAAGATTCCAAAGAATGAATGCATATACACCACTCAGAAAGATTTTTAACCATATCATCAATAGACTCTAGCCGTCGGTTCTCAGCATCCCGAGGGTTCCAACCATGTAGCCTACATCTCCTTACATAGCTTATATCAACTATCAAAGCATCATGGACTGATGACAAGTTTTGGTTTGACCGCTCCTAACTTTTTTATCAACCTAATCCTATGTCGGTTAACACTGTTTGTCAAGAATGGGGATAGTTTGGTATGCACAACACGTGTCCTAGTCATCTAAGTTGATTAACTAACCTCCTTACGTTGTCAGTCTACACATAACCATCAATGCACCTTCATTTTAATTTCATACTCACCGGTTCGTTAATTCAGGTTTCTTTTATTTCGTCCTTAGACATGGAATTATTAGAAAAATACAATTTATTCTTGTGAGACTTAATTCATGTATTTGTGCTTTTCTTGTTGTCTTCCTTCTTCCTAAAAATATCCATAGTGGAACTTTCCAAATGCTTGCCACATTCATATCCTTGGCCTAAAAGATTTGAATTTAAATGGTATTAATTTTTTTCATTCCTTTGCGTACCAAGCTGGGAATAGGGTTTCAAGTTTGACGCTTTAAAATTTCAGTAGAGGTGGTGTTATTTTCTGAAATGGAATTGCCACTATTACACCCAATCTTTCTTCTTTTCCAGGATTACTACCAGTTAGTAATCTAGGTGAGGTCTAGAAGTGCGTCAGTTGAGAGTCGAACCCTGGACCACCTGAGTAGTTGGAGAGCATTCTACCAATGAATCGCCTCTTTATAAAGTTCTAGAGTATAGTCACGTAAAAGAAATCGCAACAGGTGTAGTAAACTTTCTTTTTAACTTGTGATGAACATATTTCATAACGACAATTCCAGTACAATAATTCTGTCAATACTTTTCAGATATGGCTAATAAAATCACTAACTTTGATTAAAATGTACTGTCTAATAAAAATACAATGTTACTTTACCCTTGAAATACTTTTTCTACAGGCAGTTGAAAACTATTCAGAATGTGTATGAAAATTGTATGATATCTTTGACTATTTTGGCAAATCTCACCAGCATGTCACTGAGGCTCAAAGAAGATTGACAGCATACCAACTGTATATGGTAAACTGAAGTTACAACTTCTGTCATTTTATACCACTGCTGGAAACATTAATTTAGTAAAAGGTTTTGCGATTTATTAATTTAATACATAGATTAATCATTAACTAAGAACTGAAAGTTCCCTTGCTTCCTACACATGACATTACATAAATATCATATGTGAAATAAATTTATGTGAATGAGACTTTAGCAAATAATACGATGTTTAAATATTTTTCGCAAACACTCTTTTTCTTTCATGTATTTACTACTTACTAAATTCTAGGCTTTTCTTGCTGGAAATGAACAAATTATTTCCACTTGGATTGGTACAACCGCAAGGAAGAATTTCACGTAAGCTCGTCACAATCCATCAACAAAATCAGTCTGTTTAAAAGCTTACTATAGTTGGCAATAAATCCTGGTCTATATGAAACTTTTTAACCAAAACACTATTCAAGCAATAATTAATGTATTCTCACATTTTTACTAATTTATTATTCAGTCCATGATAACCGTCGAAATTACGCATATACACAGTCTGATGCATAGAGGAGAAAAATAAACTGAAATGAAGAAAGCTTTAATCCAATTTAAATGAATTAAATTTTTGGGATTTCATCATGAGCTTACATTAGTTAGATATCCATTGGAAAACCTGGGAGTACTGGACAGCTGTTTCGTCCTAGTTTGGGACTCTTCATCAGTACGCACCCACCGGGATTCAAACCCAGGACCTTCCGGTTACAAGGCGAGCTCGTATACCATTAAGCCACTGGGACCCGATCCAATGGTCCTTGAATTCCAACTTCTGCCAATTCAATACCAAATGAGATGCTCACTGGCGACTGGCCCTATTCGGGTAGGTAGTTACCTGGGTTCCAGTGGAAAGTCGTGACCAATAGGGTGCAGCTGGTCGGGTGTGAGGACAAATACTCGCCGAAGACATTGGCTAGCGGTCGCGCTATGTCGTGAATTGGCAGAAGTTAGAATTCAAGGACCATTGGATGGGGTCCCAGTTGCTTAATGGTATACAAGCTGGCCTTGTAACCAGAAGGTCCTGGGTTCGAATCCAGGTGGGTAATTACTGATGAAGAGTCTCAAACTAGGACGAAACCGCTGTCCAGTACTCCCAGGTTTTCCAATGGTTCTCTAACTAATGTCAGCTCATGATGAAATCCTGTAACCAATCAAACTCCTACAAACCAACACTTGAATTAAATTTTTGTTACAGAATTCATTGTCAGCATTACTTTTTTGCGAAGACCATTATCTGAAAATGATATTCGATTTCTTAAAGATAATAGTCTGTCTGCTATGAAGCTTTTTAAACAGTAACTTTTCGCGATCTAAACATTAAAATAGAATAAAAGTGGTCACACATGAATCGTAGGTAGTTCTGCGATGTTTTCATCTGGAAGACCTTCAGGTGGGGTTTAATTTGGTTATCTGATTTCATCAAGAAAATGAGACAAATAAAGTTAAGACAAAGTAAGTTTTCTCTTCGCTAAGTTGAGGTTTCTATGGAACAAATTTGAACAGGTTTGCATCATGCATTATGGTTTATCTAATGACAAGGTTATAATTTTTTCAAGCAGACATTACTCTTATCCTTATGACAGTATGAGACTATATACATGTAACTGTGTGTTGGTTAGTTACTGAGATCAAGCCTACAGCTATTTACATTTAGCTTTGTTACTAAAGTAGAGTGAAAAAGGAGGAAAATACACCGAAATCGTAAAACCGTGTCTGAGTTTTCATCAATTGGGAAGTACAATGTTTTCACATACTCAGTATCCAAATTTCTGTGAATTGTTAGATTTAATTATAACAATGAAGTTTAATTACAGACAATATGTGGATATTTATCATATATATTTTCAGAGTACCTAGTTTCAAAATATTTTAACTGATTAAAAATACCCACTAAAATTTTGAAAAGAATGTTTACTGAATAAAGAATACTCTTTTCGATAACTTCATCATCAGGCTCTACAGTTATATATACCTAATAGTGAATGAATGAATTAGTGTTGATAACAACATTAATGTTTAAATAACATTGAATCAATAATATCAATAGATACAGTTCAATAGCATCAACATAACAATAAACTGAATGTCAGAAAAATTAGGAAAGATAATATTACAAATTCATGAATTTGTAGTCTCTAATATAGGCCAGGACAGTAGTAGTGGCTGGACTTGCTTCTTTTGCACACAAGGCACCGGTTGTTTCAAGTGAATTGTGATAGCCTCTGCTGTTTGGACCATGCGGTACCTCAATGTTTTTGGCAATTTATTTCGCATAGGGTAGATGATAGAGAAGGATTCTTCAACGCTGGCTTTGTGGCCGGTTGGGACCAGATGGTCTTATATCGAACTGTTGATGGTTTTCACTACACCTTTACTGAGTCATACTGTGAGATGTTCTCGAGCACGAAAAATCAGGTTCCTAAAACAAAGGCCAATATATTTCGCTCCACAAGCACAGTTGAATTGGTAGATACAGATGGAAGTGGCTAGTCTAGGTACTTCATCTTTCAATCATGGAACTACCATCGATCGTGTAGAGAATAAGGCGTGTAGTTTTCCAGCATTGAAAGTTCTTTCAACTGATATGAGAATAAAACTTGTGCACTGTGGTAGAGTATAATTCCATTATGGGTAAATTTTTGTTTTGATAAAGTCTCACAGTGTTCTACGGTAATGTTTACTGATGACGTTTCGAGCACAATTTATTGCTCATAATCATATCAAGGTACTCACACGACTTCCTAACTTCATTTATATAGTTCCATTATTTTTCACTTGATTTGACTGGCAGTATTTTCCATATTTCAGGTATGAGTGATGAATCATTCCTATTGCATAGGTTTGGTGTAGACTCGATGAGCAAGGATTCAGTAATCAACCTCTCTCTCCACCTATCTAGATTACTTTTTAGAATTTTAACCCTCTTCCGCCCTATTGTGTGGTTGTGTGTTAATGCATGCATGAATCAGAGTGGCATTTAAACCTACAAAGTCACTCAGGGACAAGCAGTTGACCCAATTAGACAAAATGATATAATTTAGAAAACAGAAAGATTGAGCGAAGAATTATTTACTTTTCAATTAGATCCTCATCTCTGGCTCTACTCTAATATGTATAGTATTTTAATTACAATACAACAGTTTACCAATCAAGTGGCGATAATTTCGTTAACAATAATTAAACAGTGTCAATTTACAAAATACCCTGCAATGACTGTGAAGTCAACTACATAGGTCAAACTAGTAGGTCAGGGGTGGTCACATTGTCGGAACATAAGAATTTAGCTAGAATGGTTGACCCTGAAAAGAATTTAGAAAAAAGCTCAGCAATTGCAATGCATACATTAACACACAACCACACAATAGGGTGGAAGAGGGTTAAAATTCTAAAAAGTAATCTAGATAGGTGGAGAGAGAGGTTGATTACTGAATCCTTGCTCATCGAGTCTACACCAAACCTATGCAATAGGAATGATTCATCACTCATTCTTCCAACTGATTTTCTTAATTTCTTCGTAATTATGTCGCTTGGTATATCGCCCTTGATTTGCAGTCACATGTATAAAGGCTTCTTGTTTACGGTTAGTGAGTAGTCCTTTTCAGTTTTCTTTTACATGTGTTTCTTGATAAATTTTTCTGATAGCTGTTTTCAATCAACGTATAAATTACTTCTCCCAAACATATAGCTATAAACCTATGGCTGAGGGTCTTTACAAAGTTTTTTTGTACTGGAGGGGAACGAAGCTGTGAAAATTTGTACATTGTTTGTCCATGTACTTTTCCTATGCGAATTTCTCTTTGTGCTATCATCTGGTACCTAGACTAGCCACTTCCATCTGTATCTACCAATTCAACTGTGCTTGTGGAGCGAAATATATTGGCCTTTGTTTTAGGAACCTGATTTTTCGTGCTCGCGAACATCTCACAGTATGACTCAGTAAAGGTGTAGTGAAAACCATCAACAGTTCGATATAAGACCATCTGGTCCCAACCGGCCACAAAGCCAGCGTTGAAGAATCCTTCTCTATCATCTACCCTATGCGAAATAAATTGCCAAAAACATTGAGGTACCGCATGGTCCAAACAGCAGAGGCTATCACAATTCACTTGAAACAACCGGTGCCTTGTGTGCAAAAGAAGCAAGTCCAGCCACTACTACTGTCCTGGCCTATATTAGAGACTACAAATTCATGAATTTGTAATATTATCTTTCCTAATTTTTCTGACATTCAGTTTATTGTTATGTTGATGCTATTGAACTGTATCTATTGATATTATTGATTCAATGTTATTTAAACATTAATGTTGTTATCAACACTAATTCATTCATTCACTATTAGGTATATATAACTGTAGAGCCTGATGATGAAGTTATCGAAAAGAGTATTCTTTATTCAGTAAACATTCTTTTCAAGCTATTTCTTCTTCATACAGAATTTACATGTAAAGCAGTTATCTAAAGTACATGATTTGTTGTAGTGCTGTTGCAGAATATCAATTCTGTACATTTTTTTGTTCAATTCCATGAAGAATGGCATTGCGTTTAGTGGGAAACTAATTAAATATGCGTTCGAGTTCATGTATTGGTCACTTGATATATTTACATGATTCAAGCTATCTGAAGGGCAGAAGAGCTTAAGCATTTTGATGCATGCGAATTTTGGTATCCCAGTGATATAAGCAGCCTGTTGTTATTTTTGCTACACATGGTCTATATTCCACTTAAATCTAAATTAATTATATATGGAGCTATACATCAGATACACATTTAATTAATTACACTTTTTTTCTGCAGATTAAAATCAAAGATAACCATTTCGCTATGTCGCTTATTATCGTTTTCAAGTGGTGTAGCATACCGTTTTTAGTACTTTTGTAGAGTCCTAGAGGTTTTATCACAGTAGACTGTTTTTTTAACAACTATTATCATGGGATAATAGGCGCAACTGGAACTATTTCATTCGGTAGAGGTGTTTACAGAATATTTACAGAATAACTGATAAATAAGATTTTCCTGTTGGATTTTGTATTTTTAATATTAGAATATTTGAAAACCCTTAGGAAGCGTATGACATTGACTAGAGGTTTTTCTGCGGTTGATAAAGCAGCAGTTATTTGGATTATAAAGGGAGAAGATCATGTACACTTGAATTGCTAACTACAGATCAAAAGCTTCACGAATCGTCGGAAACTTTAGGCCGATTGTAATTACTGTTCACGTAGCAGCTCTTTCACTTTTTCACTGCTAATTATTTTTGAATATTTCTATTTGATCTATTCACCAAGTTTTGTTTGTTTTAGTTTTCGCGTACGAGAAGCTAGTGGAACTAAATTTATCTGGACTTTTGATAAATCTGGAGTGCCAAGCAGTTACAACTCTGCTGTACAAGATCATGTCAAGATTTATCAGATAGAAGCTACAAATGTCAAGAACAGTAATCCCATTGGTTGTCAAAAGTGTTTAAATGGAATTGAAGATGGAAGGTAATGAATATGTTTGTTCTTCGTCAATTAATTTTCAATTGTGTTTTAAATGCGTACCAAGTAAAATATAGGGCTTTCAGCTTTGAATTTTCAGTAGTAGTGGTGTTGTTTTACTGAGTGAAGTTGCTGGTCTAACTCACAGCGACATCCTTTCTTCGGGCTAGGGTAAGTTAAGCAGTGCATAGGCAGGGATTCGGACTCGTGTTGTTTGAATAATCGGCTACTATACTACGAATTGAATCCGGAAAACTATTCTAGAGATTTTGTTGCTTTCTTCGTTTGTGATATAATTACCTGGAACAGGGAATCTAGAAAATTGGTATATTTACCGAGTAACTGAATGATTTTCAGACATATTTTTAGTTTTGATTAAGTAAACGATTTGAGCACATATTTGATTAACCACCTTCAAAAACCTTCATTTTGTAGTCTTAGATTATCTTAAAGCATAAATGAAGTAGAGATATTTATACCAAATGGGATGGGTTGTAGATTTGGCATTATATTTATCTGGTCTTGTAACCGGTCTTTAAGTCACGTAACATATTGTGTAAATTTTTAAACCTGAGGAAAACTGCTACAATTTTCCAAGCAACAATCAAATCTCATGGTCGATCACTAAAATTAAATACACGTGATTACATTTATGGACCATTATTGATTGCAAATCATCCACCTGAGTTACAAATCTTCCCTATTTTTTCAGGACAGAGTTCCCACTAATAATCAATCAGCTAGGGTATACGATTGTTTTTCCCTAGAATGAATACCAATGAGAAAAAAGATAAAAGTTTTCTGAAGTCTTAGCATGATTAAAGGTTCAATTTTATTCCAATTACTCTCATTTTGTGTGGATTAGATTGATTTCAAGCTGGATTTTATCACATACCGGTATTGATTAGAAAACCGTTGAAAACATGGATAAGGTGCAGCAACAGTTTAACCATAGTTGGCGGCTATTCAAAAATTTACACTTACATCAACATCGGTAATTAAACCCAGGAGTGTTGACTTAGGAAGCAAGCATTCTACCGTAAATCCACTTGGTTGAAATCTAATGATCAGTGGATTATAATCTTTTTATTTGCAATGTACAAGTTTCACAGTCTACTTGATTAGCATTTTGTGGATAAATAAATAAATAATAGTTTGGAGCATTCGAATTTTTCCAGTTGATTTCGAGAACGAACTGTATTCGCTTTTTGCTCTGCTTCACTTTCTAAATGACATGCTACTGAAAGTGGGATATTTTATAGGCCTGGTTTTGAGATCGTGAATTCCTGACGGCTTTGCATTCTAGGCAGATATCTGTAAGTAGTATTTCTACAGAAATCACTGGTTGTAATAGTCGACATGTACTCAGACAAATTATCCCAGTGGCTGCATGGTCAACGAGCTTGCCTCGTAACCGAAAGATCTTGGGTTCTTAACCCAGTAGATGAATACTGACGATAAGTCCCATACTAGGATGAAACAGCTGTGCGGTACTCCCTGGTTTTCAGTGGTTCTCTAACTGCTATCAATCCGTGGTCTAACTCGAAAAACAAATCAATTCCTTACAAATCAACTCTTGAAAACAATAAATGAGTAACCCTAACAGTAAAAAAATAATTGGTTCTGATGACTATTGTAAAAATAGTAATAAAAATATTCTCTATATTAAATTTTAAATCTTAATGCTAAAACAATACATATAGGTGAACAACATCGTTTTCAGTCAGGCCTTCTTCAAGCGTTGCTGTAATTTACATAACTTTATTTGTAGAAATTTAGCCAATGACGGTGAGTTTGTGGATCAGTAAGAATAATATCGTGTTAAATGTTTTGAACGTCAATAATAATCATGATTATAATGATAGCAGAAATAATGATAGTAAGGCTTATCTTAACAAGTACAGGGAGTTCCTGCAGGTGGTGATAAGAACAACGAATATACTTTGTGCATGTAGACAGTTCAATAGATAAATTAGGTCAAATCTTAAAAGTTACGTAATGCTAAGGGTAAAGTGGACAAATAATCAGATTTTAAATAAATAACATAAAAGGACGAGAGAAATGGAGAATTAGAAAGGGTGGGAAGTTTTTAATTAGAATTCGCTTAGGCCAAGGGAGAGACAAAGGTAGAACAAACTTCTTTTGTATACGGAGACTGGGATCGTCCTCTCAAATATCCATAGCGGCTATGTGTAAACAGCAGGTTCAAATTCTATTCAAAAAGTTCGATGGAATGTGACAGGTTACCTTGAAGTCACTTCTTTTTTCCACTTGGCAAACACTATCAACCAGATGAGACAAAATTGAACTCCTTATAGATTTTATTTGGCCTTTTCCGAACCATGGGGGAAGACGCTTAGTAACACGTTTTTTGAGGTGTCCAGTATTTCTCGCAGTATGGCTTAATCCACAGGAACACCTAAATTTATAAATGAACATAGATGTGCCACAGCTAAGTATCTTATCTTTCGCTGGTACAACCATAACTGGTAGATTGAAGTATGACAAACAAAGGGTGGCCGTAGTGTGAGTTCATTAGATGGCTCTAGATAATCTTACACGTAAGACTTCACTAACCACATCCCAGTTGAATTACACTTTCAGGAACAATTGTTTCATTTTAACTCCAGTTGCCTTCTCTTTATTATTATTTTTGATTCACAGACTCACCATTACTGGTTGTATTTTTTGAATAAAAAGCTATGTAAATTAGAGTAGAGCCTGAATAAGATCTAATTGAAAACAATATTGTTCGCTTATATGTTTTGTTCTAATTCCAACAGTGGGAATATTTGAAGATCTGAAATCCTGATGTAATCAGCACTCAAGGTATTGAATACATGTCTGCTGCACACATGATTTCTGTACCAGAAAAGGCAATCATCGAATTCAGCAACAGACAGTAGTAGACTACCTTCACTAACTACTTGAAAATTTATCAGTCACCCACATTATTCATTTATTTCGGTGGTTCACTAGTAGAATGCTTGCCAATCATTCTGGTGGTTCAGTGTTCAGTTCTCGGTTTACTTATTACTAAACCACGTCTAGCCAGTAGTAAGTCCGGTATAGAGGAAATGTTAGGAGTGAGGCTAGCAACTCCACCGAATAAAAACAGTGCGGAATACAAAAGGTATGGAGGTGTACTATTCTTTAATGAACTTTGCCACAGAAACTGAACTACATTTAGTTTATTTATGACAAGTTTTGTGCATACTTGGTCAACATTCCTTGGATAGTAAGTGTTATCACTTCCCATGTCAAGTAGTCATATACGTGTAATTTACCTGACATAAATATCTAAATTAACATAATTCTCACTAGAGTCCATTTATGTGACATTTTACTAGGATCACTTGAAGAGGCGTGTCAAACTCAAGTTGAAAGTGAATGAAAAATTCATTTTGAAATAGTATTTGGTCATTCTTATATGAAATTTTTGCATCGGTTATACTATCATTGACTGATATTATGAGAATGTATACTTTATTTTCCTCTACTCAACATAAATCTTAATCTGCATACATTCAAGTGGTTTGTTTGTGCTTTTAAAACACTCAAAACCCTCAAACAACAAGTCGCAGCCTGTATGGAATTTTGATTGGGATAGTTTCCTAGTCCTTGAGAATTTTTTGTAAGTAAGATTGATTAATTTGTGAGAATTCCTACCGAAATCACATACATTAGTAACTACGTAGTCCAACGAACTACCCAATGAGGAATTACTGTTTACTTAAGAATGAAATCGGTTACGGTTTGTAATCATATTGAGTGTGACCCTGTAATTTGATGATCTAATTTTGTAGCAACAATAATTTTCTTTTCCTTGTTGAGGTGATGGATGACAGTTATGAATCCCTTCGAAGTTCTTAATCACTTCACCAAACACTGATTTAGTCATAAATATCTTCCAATACCTTACTGAATTAGTTTTTAGAAATACCTAGTACTGTTTACTCATGCGTCCTGATATATAGATGTCGTTTTATGAACAATCAACTTCGAAAACAATACCTCCAAAAAGGGCGTTTATTCATATTTAGTAATCTCACTAAGTTGTTTCTACTTATTTTTCAATGGGTGTGAGCATTAATCGATTTGTCGTCTAATGTTTATCTAAATAGAGAAGCCTACTAGATTTTTTTAAAATCCGACCAATGAAAATACTTATCTTGTAATGCATGTCTACCGTGGTTGCCGCTTCAGTTCTATTATTAGTTTTATGAATTAACTTTCTTCTTTTAAAATTCAGTTAAGTGGAATGGTAGAGGTCTTTGTACAAGAGTATTCAACGCTAATTATGGATGCCCTTTTGCTTATACACAAAATTACTTTCAAACCAAGTGAAAAGACATTCTGCTTTTAATTTCGTATCCGTGATTGTATAAGTCATATTTTTAAAATATTACCTTTGTATTCATGAATTACCATTACCACTATTTGTAATCACTAGTCTCGTATAAGGCCATCAGACATTACTTTTCGTATGATATACCAATGAAGTTACCACCAGTTTCCGGTATCACACAACACAATAATGTGCTAATTGTTACTGATGCCTTCTGAAGTATTTTTATATATAAAGCCATCCTTATCAAACTGAGTATGTATTTGGAAGACTATAGGAAGTAAATTTCGGTTTGTTGAGGATTATTTTGCATTTCAGAGCTTTCTTCAGCATCTTGAAAAGTCTTCACAGATGTTTTCATATAGTAGTGTTTGCGTTACTGCTCTTGCATTTAGTGGAAATGCATCGAATCTGTGAAACTTAACAGACTGATTTTAATAGTAAAGTGATATGCATACTACTTTTTACCAGAAATTATACTCATGTTGGTGAACTAGGAGAGGTAATTGTCTAGCCAGATAATTATTTACTGATTGTCAGTAAATGGCTGGATAATGGAGGATGCTTAAGCTTTTGAATCTATGTCTGCCAGGTTCGAGCCATAATAGGAACACCGTCACTCACTAGGTAGCAAGTGTCTCCAGCTAACGCGTCCCGA